TCAACCCATAAAGCCCACCTGACATGTGCATTTCACTGTTAGGTAGTTGGGGCGGCAGAACCTGATTGGACGACAAAGGATTCTGGAAACGAAATAGTTGGCGAAGACTAGGCTTCGCAGAGTCAGCGTTTGTTTTGCGTGAGCTAGGGGATGGAAACTTGGAAGGGCTGTCAGTTGGGTTTTTAGTTGTTAGATTACTGTTACTAGGACTCTGTGCACTTAGTCATGGTTAGCGCACCCGGAGGAGGGTTTTGTCCATTCTGAGCTCTCAGGGGCAGTTTAGCGTTCATTCTAGTTATTGCGTTTTGGATTGGAGCACTTGGCACAATTTCATTGGGTGTTACGTGTACATATCGGGCTGCAAATTCGCCCACACGCGTCCTTGTTTTTTCTACCCAACTCGGATGGCCAGGTGGGAGGTCCGGATTTCCATTGATTTCATAATCACTGTTGCCAATTTCCATTCCGCATACAGCACAGCATCTGCGCATCACTGCACGAACGTGAAAACGGGGTTGCCGACAACCGTCAAACACTAACGGAAATTTCTTCCCCGACCGTCAGATTCAAATGGAGTGATGACTAAACAAACTGTAAGTGATGACTAAATGTTACTCCATTTGACGTGTTCGACCGTCGGATGCAGTTCCTTGATGAAGCTGGAGATTCTCAGCAGTAGTGGCTTCACTACGAGGAGATTCAGTTGGAGTTTCCTTGCTTTGTTAATTCGTGTGCTTATCTTGAAGGGGGGAGATTTTAAGGAATGAGTCATTCCTTACTGAGGCGCGCTGCTAGTGGGGTATACCGAACGTACACGGCTCCGGGCTAGGCCTTAGTTCCGTTACCGTACACGCTACACCGAACCATTCCGTGTCATTCCGAAGCACTCCATGTCCTCGGATGCCATCTCTGAACTTGTGCATCACGTGGTTAGGATTCTCTCTGGTGTTCCTATATCTAGCCTCGTCTTTCATTGTACCGACAGTCTGTGAATCTGTATTTCTGAACTTCGATATTCACTTCCGCGCTACTCTGGGTTTCCACCCATAACATTACTGCACCAAAACGTTACAGAGGCTTAGAGTTTGTAAGAAATTTTCCATTCCTTAGCGCGCCGCACCGTTAATGCGTACACCAAACCCCACACGGCACCGACATCTGCCCTATATTCGAAACGAACACAGCACCGAACCATTTCCGCGTCACTCCGAAGTGCTACGCGCCCTCGAATGCCTTATACGAACCTGTTCGATCACGCGGCTAGGATTGCTGTGGTGTTCCTATTGTCAACATATATTTGTATATGTTATAGGCTAGATAGGTGCATGCTCATAGAGGGTACAGCACCATTGCACAAAACCTCCCTCTATGGCACAATCTAGTTCATTGTGTTATTCTAACATGCTATCAGAGCGTTGGTGACTCGGGTTCAATTCCCAGTGCTAGCGCTGCATAGGCGTTCGTGTCCTCCGCCTATCCCAGCGAGGGGGGGTGTAGAGAGACCCATTGGGATTACCCTTGAGAAAATCCTCGGGGAAGGGCCACAGGTGCAGAGCCTAGGGGGCTATGGGCGCACTGACCCGCTATCAACAAGCACTTTTAACTCAGTGGTTCGTGGCTGAGTTTCTGACACCAATATCTTGCCTCATCATTCCATTGTACCACATTATGATATTCTGAACCCCGACATTCGATTCCGCGCTACTCTGGTTAAACACTCATAACATCTGGTATTCAGAGCTACTTTCCTGACCTACCCATTTCCATAGGCGGAAAACTTTTTCCGAGGGGAGGGGAGTGATTCACTCACTGAGCTGCCAAGTGGTCGGAAGTGAATTAGACGAATTAATCCGTCCGACTACGATAGCGTTTGCGTTCTTACCTGAGCACGGATAATCATGGACATTCCCCTGCCCACTCGGTGTAGTATTCACCACATGGACCAGGCACAGTTTGACGAGTTGATGGCAAAATTCGGTGCCACGGAGGCTCGCTTGACAGATGTGCTAGACGACAACAAAGAACTTCGTGCCGAAGTTATCGATCTTTGCCAGGCGCAAGAGACTATGCGCCAAAAGTCGCCCGCCCCCGAGGACGCCGCTAGTACTGAATGTGTTGAAACAGTACTGGACAAAATCGCACGCAAAGTGTCGCAGGAGCGCCACGATGATGAAGCTGAAGTAGCAACGAATGTCGCCGCACGTGCCACGGCAGTTGCAGCTGCTGTGACAACGGCCGCTGCCCGCTCTGAAGCAGCAGCAATAGTTTCTGCAGCAGCCGCAGCCACGCCAACAGTACCAGTGGCCAAGATAAAGCCGCCGAGGCTTCCCCCGTTTCGCCCCATGGATAAAAACACCACCATCACGGGCTGACTTTTCGCGATGGAGCTTTATTTTGTTGTTGTCGAAATACGGTTGATGATTTAAATATCAAATTGGTTGTTTCACTACTGAGGGGACTGGGACTGGATTGGTGACGATCGACACTAAGTGAGACGGGGACTTCGGCGAGGAGCACTCCAGGGTTTTTCGGGAGTTTGGAATCTGCTGCCCAGAACGCAACGCCAATTTTCGGAGCGACCGAGATTCGCACGTTTTGAGGTACAGCTCTGCGTGAACGTTTTGAGCCGATACCCACCTCAGATAACACACGCACGAAGCCGGACACCTGGCATCAGTTGACCTCTATCCAGCTCAAACGTGGCACGCACCCAACTGTCCGGACACGGTGGCGGCTGATGCAACCCGAGCTCCAGGAATTACGCGACCAGCTGGATTATTGGCCGGCCAAAGGGTTTGTTCGACCGAGTATGTCCCCGAGCAAAATTATCCCGTACACGACAAAAAATGTTGGCGATCGTGCATGCGTTCAAGATCTGACGATGCTACCTGACGGGAGCCGACGTGACTGTACGAACAGATCACAAATCCCTACAATACATGCGAGCGCAGTTGAATCTCAACCTGCGGCAGATTTGCTGGTTGGATTATCTGGAGTCAAACTTCACGTATCGAATCACATACATTAAGGGTGCCAACAACATCCTCTCAAGACCATCTGCCCAAACCGACGCTGTAGTAATCGCCCAGACGAACCCGTTGCTGAGCGAACAATTCACCCACGGAGACCGATCCCTTTTTTGTAAACAACGGCCACCAGCAGGTCACGACCGCGCGAGGAGCCTATTACGTAAAAGCGGGAATGGAATAAATTTGGGTTCTGAGCTATCGTCTACTTCGCAAATCACTAATTAAATAAGTCCACGATTCAAACTTATCGGGACATTCCAGGGTTGACAAGACTCTGAAGACACCTTAGCAACTTTGGCAACACGTGACAATGGATTTTGTCACCGGCCTGTCGGCCGGACCAAGTGGATACGGCGCGGTCCTTGTCGTCGTCGACCGCCTCACGAAAATGGCTCATTTCACGCCATGTCGCACGATAATCACAGCCAAAGAAACCGCACGTCTGTTCGTCTCGACCGTCGTTCGCCTGCATGGTATCCCTGCAGCAATCATCAGTGACAGAGATCCGAAATTCACCTTGCGCTTTTGGCAAGACACGTGTAACCGATACGATACCCGCCTACAGTTCTCATCCCACGGTCATACAGAACGGACGAATCAGACCATGGAGCAGTTGATTCGCACAAACTGCCCAGATATCAATAAATGGGAAGATTCGCTGCCCATGCTCGTGTTTTCCTACAACAATGCACCCTCCGCCGCGACTAATTATTCGCCCTTTTACCTGAATTATGGGATGGATCCGACAGTACCCATTTCCACCAACGTCAAAAGCCAACTCCTTTGCTCGCAGCAGTTCGTCAAAGACCTTTAAACCGCCCGCACAAGAGTCATCGAATTTATCCGAAGACCCAATGTCACTGCCCACCAATACGCCGACCGCCACAGACAGGATATTGCCTTGACTAAAGGGAAACTAGTCCTCCTTGACACCAAAAACCTTCGCTTGCAGATACTGCCAAATCTCCGACCCCGCTATTGTGGACCATTCAAAATCATCAAGATGATAATGCCAGTGACCGCCCAACTCCGCCCGCCCGACGATTGGAAATTTCATAATTCATTACACGTCTGCTTCATGTTAACATATAATTTGTATATGTTATAGGCTAGCTAGGTGCATGCTCATATAGAGTACAACCCCTTAGGTTATATCCCCTAATACCACCTCTTTCTAATCATTCGTTCTACTCTAAGATCGTATCACCTTAGGTTAGGTCCGCCCGCCCGCTTCCGCCCTAGCGCCTAGCGCCCCGCTATGTTGGTGCATATTCGTTTGCACGTCATCCTGTCGTCTGTTCGCATCATTTCGTTGCATGTGTTTTGTGTGCTACGTTGTTTGTATGGTTTGTTGGGTTTGCATGTCTTTGCATGTTCATCTTGTGCTTGTGCAGATGTGCTTGGATTGTGCATGACATCGAGCACATTCCAACGAGCCAAGAATTGTTGGAATCGGAGCACATATGAAGAAGTTACGAAGAAATGTTTGATGGATTTGTTACAACTCATTGGAAGTCCTTGTCAGCTGCTACACCAAAGTTGGAGAGCCCTATAACGAGGAGGGACCAGCATGTGTGGGACTCTTGTCCCCACCCTGCAGCTGCAGCATTTGGGGTTTGGAGGCCAACCTGCTACAGTGTGAATTTTGTCTTGCCAGGCTGGTTGAACCTGAGGATGGGGAGTCAAGACTTTGACTCTTGTCATGTTCTTGACCATGGGCCTCCAGGGTCCTTCCCTTTCATCCTTCTCTTCCATCCCTACCTTCCAATTGTGCTTCAATGCCTTTTCTATCATGCCTCTGAACTTGTAAGCTTCAATCATAGTGACTCTGAGGATTGTCAACTTCTCCTAAGGCAGATTACCCCCCAGTGCGCCAAACGCCATAGCTCGCTCGTTAAGCTATGGAATCGAGTGATTCAACTTCCAGAGGAAAGCTGACGCTGCAAGCTACAAAAAATCTGATTTTTAGAATGTTTCACAGATTGGAGTTTTGGATATAGCTTTTCAAAGGTCGCGAGTTTTCTGGGCGTCATAACGAAGTGCTGCAGAAATTTCCAAGGAGCCATTGAATCATCTGCTTATAGTCTTCTCTAAGCAACAAGTGGTATCAGAGCCCATTATCACGCATTTGGGACCTAAAATACGATGGGAGATAAGGAGGACTCTGGTGGAGATGATACTTCAGTCCAAGGAGGCAGCTCAACCCAAGATTCTGGCATTGCAGCGCAAAGGGGAGCGCATACAAGCCAGGGGTCACTGCTTAAGGAGGTGCTGAAGAACTTCACCATTGAGAAGTTCTCTGGAGATGGCTATAATGATTGGGCATGGAAGATGCAGCTCTACTTTCGACAAATTGGCCTCTTGAAGCTCATGATTGGAACGGAGCCAAGGCCAAAGGAAATGGCAGAGCAAGCGGACTGGGATGAACGTTCATCTGCTGGGTATTATCTACTGTCACAAAGCTTGGAGCTGAACCAGAGGCATCACATCATGCATCTGCTACCGGAAATTGATTGTGGGCCCAAGGCATGGGCAGTGCTCAAGGACCTGCACGCTCCGACATCGGTTGCCGCTTCTCTCATGCTGGATCGGGAGCTGTCCATGCTGCGGTTGAGCGAGAATGAACCTGTGCAGCCCGTCCTGGACAAGATGAGGGAACTCTACGCGAAATTGGCGATTGCAGGCATCACGTACCTGGAGCAGACTAAGTGTCTCAAGATGCTCAGCCTGCTGCCCGAGTCTTGGCTGCAATTTATAAGCGGACTCAGCTTGCCACAAAACCAAAGTCAATGGACATTGGAGTGGATACGCACCAAGATTCTGGAAGAAGATTTTCGTCGCTATACACTGCGCGGAGGTGATGACAGCACCAGCGGCTATGCCATGCAAGGGACATGGAGGGATCGAGGGCGTGGCAATCGCGGTCGCTCCTACTACAACCAAGGTGGTCGCGGGACTTGGAACCAGCGGGGGCGTGGTGGCGCTGGTGCAAGAGGAAGAGGTGGTCACTCCAACAATGACAACAGTGAACCACGCTTGAGGGGAGAGTGCTGGTATTGCAAGGAAGAAGGGCATCCATGGTTTTGCTGCTCTACCAAGCCCGACTGGTGGACCCCTTGGAACCAATCGCAGAAGGGGAATGGAGGAAAGCAACCACATGGAGGTGCCAACATGGTAGTTGATCCTGCTGAAGAAACCTCCAAGGATGACAGAGGATTGGGAAATGAGGAGAGGAATGCTGGACAGTTCTACCATGTGTGTGACAAAGATGACAGTGGCACAGCTGTTGCAAGGGCTGGAGAGGAACTGCACCCGCTTGACATGTGGGTCATGGACTCTGGTGCTGCATGGACAATGACACCACGCAAGGACTTGCTGGATGCTGTGCGAGCGCCTCCAATCTCCGAAGTGCGCTCAGCATCCGGACATGCAGTGAAGGTCGCTGGAGTTGGTCGAGCTGCATTCAGAGCACCTGATGGTGGACTGGTTGTGCTGAAGGACGTGTTACTCGTACCGGGGCTGAAGGCCAATCTGATATCGCTGCGCAAGCTAGGCCAGGCGAGGAGATCTTGTGTTATGGGATTTAGACGAAAGCAGAGATGTCTTCAGATCCATGTGGCAGATCCCTGCACTGATATGGGAATCAACAAAGAAGGAGTTGGGAGCAGTAAAGGCGAGATCTGGAGTCCAGGGGGAGTGCAATGCAGTTAGTGCTGCAGGAGTGACGGTTTCTGCAAGGTCGGGGGAGACTGATTGGGAAACCGCACACAGACGTCTAGGGCATGTGGCTATGCCATTGCTGCAGCAACTGCATAAGGAAGAGGCAGTAAAGGGGCTGAAGCTTTCTGGGCAACCAAATGATACCAAGTGCGAGACGTGTCTGCTGAGCAAGTTCACACGGTTCCCCTTTCACGGCGTAGCTGGGAAAAGCAAGGCAGCACTGGAACTGGTGCACATGGACCTGGTAGGACCTTTTCCAGTTCGAGGAAGTAAGGGGGAAAGGTACTTCCTTACAATAGTTGATGACTGGAGTCGGCTGATGTGGGCATACCCGTTGAAGCAGAAGGATCATGCTGCCTCAGCAATACGAGATGACTGGCTGCCGTTCGTCGAGCGACAATCTGGGCACCCATGCAAGAGCATCAGAACCGACCGAGGTGGAGAGTTTCTAGGAGGAGATCTGACTGCGTGGCTCAAGAAACAAGGCATTGAGCATCAGCTAACGACGTCCTATACCCCTCAGTCAAATGGCGTTGCTGAGAGGGCTAATAGGACCATCCTGGAAACTGCGCGAGCGCTACTGATCGAATCAGGGCTGGGGAACTCCATGTGGCCTCATGCGGTGAGGCATGCTACAGTGGCAAGGAACTGCGTACTCACAAAGGTGGCTGATGATATGTGGGTGCCGCTGGAGAGGTGGCTTGGAAAGAAGCCTCCAGTGGACATGCTTAGAGTGTTCGGATGCATGGCAGTGGCGCATGTCCTTAAACCGTACAGGACAAAGCTTGGAGCATCTGCACTGTGGTGTGTGCACCTTGGACTTGCGGCAGAGAGCAAGGGGTGGCTACTCTGGGAGCCCTCAAAGAATGTGCTGTTTGACAGTCGGGATGTCAAATTTGTGGAGAACATCATGTATGGCAAGTGGGAGAAGCAGCCAGAGGCAAGGGTCACCCAGCAGCTGGAAGAGATCACTATGCACTTCGATTTGTCCGAACCTGAGGACAGCGAAGTCACTGCGCCAACGGCAAGCGGTACTGATGAAAGAAGCAATGAGGATATTGCAGCTAATGCTGACGTCAAGGATCCGGAGCAGCAGCAGCAAGAGGCTTCCAAAACACCAAGTCTGCCAAAGCGAAGGAAACAGATTGGTGGGGGGACAAAGGATTGGGTGAAGGTGAAAGAATGGGTAAATCCAACCATCTACCCTGCACGTACCAGAATGGCAACAAGAAAGCTGCTGAGCTCTACAAGTGGAGGAGCCACAACTGAGCAGCAGGAACAGGCCCAAGGCGAAGATGCAGTGCTGTTCTTGGGTGTTGACCAAGAGTCAGATGACGAGGAGCCTGCATACTGCTTTTACGCACCAATACAACCTCCGAGCATGGATCATGCGCTAGCCGGGCCTCAACGGGGGAAGTGGCTCGTTTCAAGAGATGCAGAGTACAACAGCCAGATGGAGAATCACACATGGGACCTGGTGTACTTGCCAAATGGGAAGAAGGCAATACAGCGCAAGTGGCTAGCAAAAATCAAGACGGATGAGAAAGGAGAGCCATCAGTTTACAAGAGCAGGCTGGTGGCAAAGGGGTTTCAGCAGAAAGAGAAAGAAGATTTCAAAGAAGTGTTTGCCCCAACTGCTAAGTCTCCAACGCTACGTGTGCTGCTGGCGGTAGCTGCTGTGCGCAAATGGAAGGTGAAGCAGATGGACATCGTAACCGCTTTTCTGTACGGCATTGTGGAAGAGGAGGTGTACATGGTTCAACCACCTGGCTATGAGGATGGAACCAGTCGTGTCTGCAAACTTAACAAGGCCATCTATGGCTTGAAGCAGGCCCCGAGATGCTGGTACAACAGGCTGGCCAGTGCACTGGAAGGGATTGGATTCCGTGCGAGTGCATGCGACGAAAGCCTATTCCTGATGGGCGAGGGGGAGTCGCTTGTGCTTCTGCTGGTGTACGTGGATGACATCCTGCTCTTCAGCAGCAGTGACAAGGAGATCGATGTGGTGCAGCGGAAGCTCACAGAGCAGTTCAAGTGCAAGTCACTTGGAGAGGCAAGGTACTACCTGGGAATGCACATTGAGCGGGATACTGAACGTGGCTGGCTCAAACTGCATCAGGGACAGTACATCAACACCTTGGCTGAGAAGTACTCTCTGCAGGAAGAACGGGAAGTGGTTACACCTTTGCCTTCCGAGTTCAAACTCATAAAGGCAGCTGAAGGAGAAGGAGTTGAAAGTGAAGACCAGAGGAAATTCCAATCCATGGTCGGGAGCCTACTCTACGCTGCTGTGCATACTCGGCCTGACATCTGCTTTGCTGTGGGACAGCTGGCTCGAGTAGTGCAAAATCCAACAGAAGAGCAGTGTGGTGCAGCGGAGAGAGTGGTGCGCTACCTCAAGTCATACCCTACAGTGGGAGTACAGTATTCAGCCTCTGCTCAACTCAGTCAAAAAGGAGTTGAAGTCCTTCAAGAGAAGGGGGAGCAGCTCGGAGAAGGAAAGGTGTTCCTTTCCTGTTTTGCTGATGCCACGTGGGCTTCTGAGCATGAGGATTCATCATCAGTTGGTGGATACATCTGCATGGTGGGAGGTGGGCCTGTAAGTTGGAGGTCCAAGAAGCAGTCTGAAACGGCACTATCTTCAGTGGAATCTGAGTACATGGCAATGTTTCATGCGGCAAAAGAAATCATTTGGTTAAGGAGGCTCTTGAAGGCGATCCGCCATGAACAGACTTGTGCGACACCTCTGTTCAGTGACAGCAAGGGAGCCATTGCCATGGCACGCAATGCAGTTCTTCATGGGTTGAACAAGCAAATGAGGATCAAATGGCATTGGCTGCGGAAGGAGGTGAAGCTTGGGACACTGGAACCGATCTACGTGAAAACTCAGCAACAGTCAGCCGACTTCCTTACCAAGCGGCTAGCTGAAGAGCCACACTGGTGCTGTGCGAGGATGGCAGGAATGTCCTTGAACTAGAGACGGCGAAACAAGCCGACAATCTGAGGGGGAGTGTGTTGGTGCATATTCGTTTGCACGTCATCCTGTCGTCTGTTCGCATCATTTCGTTGCATGTGTTTTGTGTGCTACATTGTTTGTATGGTTTGTTGGGTTTGCATGTCTTTGCATGTTCATCTTGTGCTTGTGCAGATGTGCTTGGATTGTGCATGACATCGAGCACATTCCAACGAGCCAATAATTGTTGGAATCGGAGCACATATGAAGAAGTTACGAAGAAATGTTTGATGGATTTGTTACAACTCATTGGAAGTCCTTGTCAGCTGCTACACCAAAGTTGGAGAGCCCTATAACGAGGAGGGACCAGCATGTGTGGGACTCTTGTCCCCCCCTGCAGCTGCAGCATTTGGGGTTTGGAGGCCAACCTGGTACAGTGTGAATTTTGTCTTGCCAGGCTGGTTGAACTTGAGGATGGGGAGTCAAGACTTTGACTCTTGTCATGTTCTTGACCATGGGCCTCCAGGGTCCTTCCCTTTCATCCTTCTCTTCCATCCCTACCTTCCAATTGTGCTTCAATGCCTTTTCTATCATGCCTATGAACTTGTAAGCTTCAATCATAGTGACTCTGAGGATTGTCAACTTCTCCTAAGGCAGATTACCCCCCAGTGCGCCAAACGCCATAGCTCGCTCGTTAAGCTATGGAATCGAGTGATTCAACTTCCAGAGGAAAGCTGACGCTGCAAGCTACAACATATCTGATTTTCAGATCGTTTCACAGATTGCAGTTTTGGATATAGCTTTTCGAAGGTCGCAAGTTTTCTGGGCGTCATAACGAAGTGCTGCAGAAATTTCCAAGGAGCCATTGAATCATCTGCTTATAGCCTTCTCTAAGCAACACGCTAGCCCCTTATGCCCAGCTGGCCCCTTAGTGCCCTGCTCGCCCATTCGCGCCACGCTGGCCCCGTTTGCGCCCCGCTGGCCCCGTTTGCACCCCGCTGGCCCTGTACGCCCAACTGGCCCCTTAGCGCCCCGCTGGCCCCTTAGCGCCCAGCTGGCCCCTTAGCGCCCCGCTGGCCACGTTTGCGCCCCACTGCCCCCTGTAAGAAATAGAGTTGAAATCGAAGACGACATCAGAGCTGCGAATCAGCTGTCTGGTGATTGGGTTGAGGAATAAGTAGTCCGGGGAGTCGGAGTTGTGCCCCAGGTACATGCAGGTCTGGGTTTTGGGACCAAGCTTGCCACCTTGCTTCCTGCGCGTGTGGGGGCTCAGCAACACATACGCGGTACAGCCCCAGACGCGTAGAGAGCGGGCGGAAGGCATGACCCCAAGCCAGAGAGCGGTAGGTGTGGTGTCGGGCCGGTGGGGATGCGAATAACGATTGTAGAGGAGTGCCGCATGGAAGAGGGCATATCCCCAGAGTGACCGTGGTGCGTTGGCGTGACTGAGGAGGCAACGAGCAATCTGAACCAAGGTGTGGTTGCGGCTCTCTGCAATGCCATTCTGCTGCGGGCTTTCGGGGAGCGTAAAGGTTTGCCGAATCCCTTGGGCTGCACAGAAGTTATCGAGTTTGCCATTGCGAAATTCTCCCCCGCCATCAGAATGGAGGCACTTCATGTAAGAAATAGAGTTGAAATGATTGATTAGGTAATCCCCATTGGGATCTCCGGTGAGAGGGAATGGATGAAGGGGGAAGAGGGAATCCCCATTGGGATCTCCGGAATCTCCAATTGGGTAATTGGAGATTGTGGGGATCACAATTGGGTGAGGTTGGGATTTGTGAGTACACCCCAACCCACTAGAACATTCACAACCTAAACTAGGATATAAAAGTACAAATACAAAAGTGGTATTTGCAGTCTATTTCTAACACACCCCCATAGACTGCAAACCCGATCAAGGAGCACATAGCCCCATGGAACGGAGAAGCCGATGGTGGTCAGCCTTGCCGAGAGCCTTGGTAAAGAGGTCGGCGAGGTTGCAATCTGAGGTGATGTACCGTACCGTCAGCTGGTCACTCTGAACAAGATCTCAGATGAAGAAATGACGAAGTTCGATGTGCTTGGTGCGAGAGTGGAACACAGGATCCTTGGTGAGATGAATGGCACTCTGGTTGTCACACCACAGGGTGGGCGACTGCTGGGGGTAGCCTAACTCAGCGAGGAGAAAGGAGAGCCAGCGTGCCTCTTGAGAAGAAAATGTGCCCGCGTAGAGCTCGGCCTCGCAGGACGACAAGGAGACTGCAGAGGACCGAGTGGAATGCCAGCTAATGACTCCGCTTCCAAGAGTGAAGCAGTACCCTTGGGAGGAGCGTCTGTCAGTCTGGTCATCGGCCCATAAGGAGTCTGTGTATCCCTCGAGCTTGACTGGAGAGGTACCACCGAGAGTGAGGATGTGAGACTTGGTGGCTTGTAGATAGCGGAGGACCCTCTTGGCTGCAGACCAATGCGAGGCGGTGTAGCGTCCAGGGGAGACGTACCGAGAGAGGACACAAACCGGGTAAGCCAAGTCTGGTCGAGTGCACATCATGGCATACATGAGTGAACCGACTAGCTCAGGGTACGGGTCCTTGCAGGCGTCAGGAGAAGGAGTTGGAGGGGCCGTGAGCTGATGCTGTAGTGGGAGTGGAGTGGAGACAGAGTTACTGGAGTCCATGTCGAACCGCTTGAGAAGGTTGTCGATGTAGGACTCCTGGGAGAGGGTGATCGTGCAAGCCTGGCGGTCACGAGTGATCTCCATCCCCAGGTAGTTCTTGAGGTCACCAAGATCCTTCATGAGAAGGGTGGAGCTGAGAGCAGACTGGACAGCTGCCATGTCGGCTGGATCTCTGGTGGCTAGAATGAAGTCGTCGATGTAGACGAGGATGTAGAAGGGCTCGAAGGAGTGACGAACGAAGAGACTGGAATCTGAGGCAGAGGGATGGAAGTCAAGTGCGAGGAGGACTTCCTTCACCTTGTTGTGCCACTCACGAGGAGCCTGCTTGAGGCCATACACAAGGCGCTTCAGCTTCCACACTCTGTTGGTAGGGTAAGTGCCAGGAAACCCCGGTGGGCGTTCCATGTGAACATCCTCCTTGAGCTGGCCTTGGAGAAAGGCGGAGGAGGCGTCCATGGACTTGATCTCGAAGTTGCCGCGAGCGGCTATATCAAGAAGAGCGCGCACAGTCGGGAGCTTGGCCGTGGGCGAGAATGTTTCGAAGAAGTCGAGATACTCCTTCTCGGTGAAACCCTTCGCCACGTATCGTGCCTTGAACAGTGGAGCTTCGCCTGGGAGTTGTTTGACTCGGAAGATCCATTTTCCGCCGACGATGTTGACACCGGAAGGGGGAACAACATCGTCAAAGCTGTTGTTGCGAATGAACGCCTCGTTCTCCACATCCATTGCTGCCTTCCACTCCTTCTTATAAGGCCCCGAGAGAGCTTCCTCTTTTGTGCGAGGAGTCAGAATGGTCGGGTTCTCGGTGAAGTTGAGGGAAGGGCAGTAAGTAATGTCCGGGAAGATGTGAGAGAGAAATTGGCAGACCGCGTGAAGGTCAAACAGCTCCTCATGCCTGTCCTCCAGAAGTGCACGGGGGGAAATACGGATGGAGGGGACATCACCCCCGGCAGGAGGAGGCGGGGTGACCGAACACCGGATGGAGAAGGCGGCTGGTCCCCAGGCGAGAGGCGGAGCCGGTCCCTTGGAACGAGTGCGACTAGAGACCGGAGACGAAGGCGGCTGCGGTGGGACCGGAGGGACTGGGCGCCTCCGGTAAGAGACTGGTGAGCCCGGCTCGACGCGCGGGGAAGGCGGAGCAGGAGGAGGTGCCGCTGCGGAGGATACTGGGGAGGCCGGGAGAGACACGCCGGACGGAGAAGCCCCCGGAGAAGGGGCAGCGGCCGTAGGTAGGGCATTTAAGTCTGCCCCAACAAGCGTCGGGGGAGGTGGAGGAGGCTCGCACGTGGTCGCAGAGTGGAATGGGCGTGTCTCATCGAAGACGACATCACGGCTGCGAATCAGCTGTCTGGTGATGGGGTTGAGGAATAAGTAGTCTGGGGAGTCGGAGTTGAGCCCCAGGTACATGCAGGTCTGGGTTTTGGGACCAAGCTTGCCACCTTGCTTCGTGCGCATGTGGGGGCTTAGCAACACATACGCGGTACACCCCCGGACGCGTAAAGAGCGGGCGGAAGGCGTGACCCCAAGCCAGAGAGCGGTAGGTGTGGTGTCGGGCCGGTGGAGATGCGGATAAAGATTGTAGAGGAGTGCCGCATGGAAGAGGGCATATCCCCAGAGTATATTGGTGGAGGAAGCGCCGACGGGAGGCCAAGAAGAAGTTTCTTGGAAGCGATGTCGGCAAGTGTTCGGAAGTTGGGGTGACCCAAGCGATGGTGGTAGAGGATGGTTGGGTTGGCAAAGCGGCGACACAAACACGGAGTGGTGCTGGCAGCTTGCGCTTGGGAGAGAGCGGCGAGAGGTGCAGGTGAACGCAGCGTGTAGAGCTTGCTACTGTTGAGTGTGAAGCGTGGTAGGAGCTTGTTGGAGTGAGGGTCGAAGAGGTCACTGTGATCCGAGTGTGCTGGGAAGATCGTGGTGACGCCTGCCCGTTGGAGCTCGTGTTGGGCCACAAGATTGTGGCGTAGTATGGGAACACACATGCCAGTCACACTGCCCGAAGGAAAAGCTGGGCACGGAACTGTGGAGGAGCCCTTGGCGTGTGTTGTGAAACTGGAGTCTGCTCCAAGTAGACGGATTGGTGTCTCGTATGGCTTGAAGGAGTGTTCTTCCTTGAGAACCGTATGAGTGGCCCCACTGTCAAGGGTGAACTCTATTGTGGCTCAGGTGCTTTGTGAGCCAGGATATTGCGAAATTGTCTCATTAATCATGGCAGTGCCAGGGAACAACATGTTGAGGCGCACATCAGCAGGTGCAGCCACAGCAGCCTGCACGGATTCCTGCGCTTCGACTTGATTGACTTGGCGAGGAGCACGATTGACCATCCAGCTTGGCGGCTTGGAGGCGGTCCCATTGACGGCATACCACTCGTCATCCTTCTTCTTAAAGCAGGAGGCAAGGGCGTGGTTGGTGCCGCCACACACCTGGCCAGCACGAGGGCCGCGCTTGATGATGTAGGGACACGGGGGGAAGCGGTTGCGCTGGAACGGCGCCGAAGCGGCATAGGCTTGAGGCACGGGAGTGCGGATTGCATTGGCCTTGGCTTGAGTGCTGTTGTCCTTTTCGGCAGAAAGGAGCGCGGATGAGACCTTGGCAAATGTGAGGTCCGCAGGAGCAAGGCCCAAGAGCATCTTGCGTGTGACTTC